GTCTTCTTTGTCGCGGTGGACGTCGTCATGAACAATTGGGAAGTAATCAACTACATCGGAAACGCCAACTACCTCCTCACGCCGTTGCTTAACACGGGAACCCCTGACCAACTCGCTCGATCGTTCTCGTTCTCCACTCGCGCCAACTTGGAGTCTCTCTCGCAGGTTGGCCGATTCATGGTGAGCTTCGTCTTGAACTCGTCCTACACTCGCGATCCGACGGAATACATCCTCACGGCGGGAGTACACCGCATCCACACCGACACGAAAAACGTTTGCGGCGCCCTCGTCGAGAGTTACCCGTTGCCGTCCCGGAACACGACCTCGATGAAACTCGCGGTCGTCCACAACCGCATGCAGCTCATTCGAGGCAACACGCTCGACAACTTATTCCGCGCCGCAAACGCCCCGCCGCCGCCGCCGCATGCCAACTACACGACTCTGGCCTACCTTGGGTACATTCCCGCACGGATGGACGTCGACATGCGGTTGACAACGCCAGTCCGGATTCCGCCGGTTGGCGAGTCGGTCGTCGCGAACATCTCCATGTATCGGTTTGCGTCGCGATCGTTCTGCAGTGGCTGCGACCCCATCGTTGAGCTCGGGCTGGACACGTGCAACGCAATGTACCACGTGGACGAGGCGTCGCAAGCCCTCGTCGTGACGTCGAGCGCGGCGTATCGGGGCGAGTATCATTACTTGGGCGTGATCCTGTCGCGATCCGCAGGGACGGCCGCCTCCCTCTACCTCCGAGGCGTCGCGCTCGTAATTGCCGTCGTCGGGTTTACCACGAGCAAAAAGACGACGAGATGGACCGTGGCCGCATCGATGGGGACGACGTGGAAGCGCATCGCACACACGCTCGCGCCGCCGCTGTACCGATACAACAGCCACACATTCACGTTCTCCAACTTTTGCCTCAACAGCGACTACTTTGTCGTGGCGTACGTGGTTGCTGTCGTCTTGGATGAGAAGAACTCGATGGTGTACTCGCGCATTATGTACGAGTGGAATGGCGAGGGCCAAAACCCATGGATGCAGGTCCAGATCATGGCGATTCAGTTTCGGTGGCTCTGGATCAACTGCCTCCTCGTCAAGGCCGCCAAGGTGTTTGTGAACTTTGTCAGCATGGCGCGGTACACCGGGTCGAATGCGGTCGTCGGGTTCTTGAACTTTAGTTCTGTCACGTACATCTACCTCGGCACGATCTTCCTCATGCAGCGGACGCCTTACATTGAGTACGGCAACACGGACCGGGCGGCGCTCGAGTCGACGGCGGCCAACTTGGACGGGATTCGGATCGACGTGTTCGACTCGTGGTACATTCGGTCGTTCCCGAGCATGATGGTTGTGATGGTGGTCAACTTGATGGGGATGCTGGCCCTGGACCGCGTGCTCAACCGCCACAAGTGGCGCCGCCTTGCGCGCAACTCGCTCGGCCGCCAAGCCATGTTCAACTCGTCGTCGATCTTGTGCGAGATGTGCTACGCGTTCCACGAAGTGGCCGGGTACGAGAACCAGGCGGTCATCATTCAGACGAGGGCGCTGTGCACCGTACAGTGGTTCCTCATGTGCCACACGTTGTGCTTTGGGCTGCCGGAGAGCCCCATGCGCGTCCGTGCGATGCTGACCTCAGGTACAGCATGTGTAAATAACCGTGAATGCCGTGAACTTGACGGTGGCATACGTTGCAGACGGCGGTGGACGCGGTAAACGGTCCAACTTGGCCACCACGATCAAGGTCGCGACGCATCGGGCGTTTGCGGCTGGCCAGGCCATAGCGTTCAAGTCGAAAGGGAGCAGCTACGGCATTGAAGACCGCTCCATCCAGCCTACCGAGTCGGACAGCGGCGGCGCATCGACCACGAGGGCGATGAGCGACCTGTGCATGGTCGCTCAAGACGGCGACGGGATCATTCATTTGTATGACGCGAGGAAGCTGGAGGTGAATGCGATGGCTTTCGAGGTCAAGATCATGAGCGATTCGCGGTTCACGATTGCATAGTGCCTGCATCGCACACGATAAGTCACAACGAGGATGGTCTTGTAATCGGGGAGATGCATGCTTCACATCACGGTGGCTCGGAGTGGCGGACTTTGCGAGGGTAGCGCACGTGCGATGTGCCAGGAAGGGTCGCGACCGATGTCGCCGGTCCAGTGAGTTCCCCTGATGCCGTTCATGGGTGCTGCCTGACGTCGCGCTGACCAAGGACAGGTCCCGTGGATGCGCAGCAAGGAGTTAGCTACCTCAACGGGGCCGGAAGACTGGAGAAGCAATCAAGAACAACGGGGAGGTAGCAAACGCACAGCAGCATGCTTTTCAATCCTGTTGCGACGGCATGCACTTGAAAGGGTCGCGGCGCAGTGGCCGTCCCTCGTGTTCGCACTGACCGACGCCGCCGTTCGTGTACACGTCAAACGAGTTGTTGACTGCATCAAGTGTGCCTTGTGACACTGCATACAACTGGACAGGTCCTCCTCGTCTTGCTTCCTTGTGCTCTGCGTGGCAATGCTGAATCACGCGTCGCCCACGACGTGCCTTCCACGATGCGCCGTATGCTCAGCGCTGGTTGACACCGCTTGGTTCGCCGCGACACATGTGCCCCGAGAAACAACTTGCCTCTGTCTGGCATGACAGAATATCATGGTTATGCCTTTTGGACACAAGATCGCCGTCTCTCCGTCACGTTGGCAGCAACGAGCGGCGCCACGGGTGTCGGTAGACCAGCGCCAAAACGTCGCGACCACTTGCGTCATGGCATCCGATCACTCGATTCACATTCTGCTAGCGGGCATGGCTCCGTCACAAACGCCCGGGAAGGGTTCGGTCCCATTGTTTCGCACGCCAAGCCTCTATGGCGACCACCACCTCTTGATCATACTCTTCTTGGCGCCGACGCGACGGACGGAGGGGGGGATTCCATCGCGAGGACCCCGTCGAAGGTTGCTTAAGTCAGCCAACCTGTCCTGACGTCGAACGTCACCATGGCCCATGGCCCATGGCTGAAAGCCATTGCAATCGAATCGATTCGACGGCACCTCCTCCCTCTTGCTTTTTTCGATGGCGAGACTTGAAGTGTCGGGGTTTCGGCGAAATCACATCGAAGACGTGCCCCACATGCTGACCAAAGTTGACGGGGTCCCCCAGGAGTAGACAGTGTGCCGCCGTCTCCACCGACCAGCGTATCGCTCCCGACGATAGCCTGAACCATAACACTCGGACGACCGGCGCCGTGGCGGCGACGCCCTCTCCCTGCATGAAAACCATGCATGATGTACGAATTGACAAACGAGAGCGTGTGGCAAGCTCGAGAACACCAGCTCGCGTGCAAAGACCGACCGACGACACACACACGATGACAACATCTCTACAGACGAGATCGTTGGTCTCAGTCCATCTGCACGTTTCCGGCGATGGCAGTGCTTGCGACACGCCGAACGGCGGGCTTTTGTCGACGATCTTACGTCGATGCGCCGCGCACACGACGTGTACGTGGACCGCGGCGACATGGTGTCGCCTCTAAACATCATGGGACTCTTCAAAAGTGTTGCCGTCCCGCCCAACGACGACCTCCACTTGTTCCAGACACTTGTGTCGCGACGGAGGTTGCGACCCTCGACTCGATCGCGTTCATCAAGCTGTCGACGACGTCTGCATCCACGCGGGTCGCTCGCTCATCTCTCTCGTCTAGCGAATGGAAAATATCGGTCGTGGAAACGTCTACTGCCGCCACCAGATCGTCGCGCAGCGACCATTCGAAAGAGGCTGCACACGACTGTGCACGTTAGACGCTCGTGACGGCGCCGGCCGCGCACGTGCCACATCGGCATCTCATGGACACCCTCGGACACGGGTTTGGCTGCCCTTCGCCCCGGACTTCGTCGACGGTGTGGGGACGCATTCCGAGGTGACGACATGGCGAGAAGACGTCAGTTGCACGCTGGGGGATGGGTAATGTACTGCTTAGGGTTAAAGGAGGAGGACGTCGACGGCATAGTCTGGCAAGGAAGCGGCGGTTTGGGGCAAGTGGGCGCTGGTCAAGAACTGATCGAGTTCGCCGTGCACGTCGGCCATGTGGTGGCACGCGTCGACGTGGGTGAGCAAGAGTTTCTGGAGGTCCTGGAGCACGGTCACGATGTACGGAGACGTGTCGCTCTCGACAACGAGCGCCGTGTAGTGGACGTCGAGGAGGAGCCCCATCCACTCGACAATGTGATGGAGCGATTCGGGGGCGGCGCGCTGGCGATACCACTTCTTCAAACATGCCAACAGCGCGAGCACTTCGGGCACAGTGAATGCCTGCATGGCATTTTGCAAAAACACGTCAGCCTTTGGCAATGCCACAACGAGGCTCAAAAAGTGCTCGACAAATTGGCTTGGGGTCGTGACGCCCGTGGTCGTGCCCTTCCCGTGCTGCGCCTGGAACGCCGCCACGGACGCCGGCGACGCTTCGCGCAGGATAAATTTGCATATTCGAATGGCCAGCACTTCGTCCACGTCCGACAAGTGCAGCAAGCACTCTTCCAGGATGGCAAACTGCTTGAGGGACATCATGGTAGGCACAAGGGACGGGATCGATCGGCTGCACAAGTGCTTGGTCGACAGGAGCAGCGACAACTCGGCCCACAGCGCAAGCTTCGGCGATGCCACGATGCGAGTCGCAGCCTGAACGACAAACTGAGGCGATAGCACCCCCACTCGCAGCTTTCGCTTTGCCTTGAAGAACACATACCCATAAAAGACTTTCTGGAACGCTTCGCGGGTTGGCGTCGCGGTGGGCGTCGTCAGTTTGTGCAGCACGTCCAACTGGGTGGCGTTTTCCCCGAGCAGCTTGGACTGCCAGTTGGTCAAGTCCAACGAGGTCATGATGGCGGCCACTTCAGCGGGATTCGCCGCTTCAAAGTTGGACAAGACGAGCGCGGGTTGCTGGTGCGTCGCGCCTTTGCCGAGCACGGAGGCGAGCGTCGCGGGGGCCGACGGGACGACCGCAACTTGAATAGATCGGTCCAACACATACGCAATATGGGACGTTTGCGGCAACACAACGAGCGCCACGAGCGAAGACGATGCCGCGGGACTGGACACCGCAAATGCCGACATCTCGACAACATACTGGCTATTCCACACGGACAGAGACACGGACGACGCGACTACAATCGACTTGGCTGAGATAGCCGCGACGAAGTACGTGGCATCGCCAGATGGAGAGGACGATGCTGCCGTGACCTTTCGCTTCTTCTTGCTGCCTTCATCCGATGTCACCGTTGTCACGGAAGCAGTCGATGGAGCAGCAATGGCCAGCTTGGTGACATGTTTCAGTTCAGTCGTGGCGCCCAGCAATGCCAGCACCTGCCATTCGCCCGTCGACCAGAAGAGCGACAGCTTGTGCGAGTCATCGGCGAGAGCGGAAACCAACGAGGCCGACGAAGTTGGCGGGTTCACGATGTGCTGGGGCCAAGTCGACGCGATGGACACAGCTGAGATGTCGCCATGATCCTGCGCCAGTGTGAAAGACATCACAGTGTACTTGGACCCGTCGGACTTGAGCACGAGGGTGAGGTGGAGTTGGTGGGAGCTGTCGTTCGAGAGAAGTGCAAACATCACCTTCGATCCCGTCGAGGCGGGAAGCAAAGGTGCAATGGAGGAATCCGTCACAACGGACACAGCGCCAGACGTGCTGACGGCGACGCATCCATCAAGCTTGCTGTTCACGAGAAGAGCATGGACTTCGAATGACAGCGAGCGGGCAGGGACATCGCCGATGCGTTCCGTAGCCAACGACCACGAAACGAAATCCATCTTACCTTTGCCTCGCACCCCGTAGAATAAATCGTGCTTGGTAGGATGTTGTACAGCGACAACTGACAACGCCTGTGCACTGCCCGCACGATACTCCCAACTGTGCACGACCGCGGCGGTCCCTTGGAACGTGGATTTGGACGTGTTGAGCAGGACAACTTGATCTGACGTCGTGACCAGGATATGCCCAGGCATTGGTCCGGCACATGGGTGTGCGCCAACGATGCGCGAGTCTCCTCGCGACGTCCACGCAGCACTCAACTCGAGCGGGCCGGCCATGTCGAAAATGTGCCAAGTTGCTTTCAATGTGGAGCCAACCACCGGCGCCAACCGTTCCACCAATCACAAAGTTGAACAAACAGGTACGCTTTAAGCCAATCAGATGCGAAAGGACATCAATTCCCACGGAATATTGGGGCTCATTTCACAACCATTGCTCGAAAAATCGGATACGTTTTGAGCAAAAATATTGCTCGACTGGCCTTTTTGCATCGTCGATTTCGAAAAATTCAACGGAATATGCCTTCGACATTTGATACGTTTTGAAGCAAGAACCTGTAGAGATTGATTTCTCCACCAAGTGCGTACGATGGACAAGGCCGAGAATGACATGCACGTTCAGGACACGGCGACCGACGCGGCCTCCTGCAAACTGTCCGCCGTGACTCTTGGCTATTGGGATGATGCATTTGCAGGCAGGTTTGCGAAGCCCAACAGGAAGATGCCCATTATCAATAGAGGGTACTACGCTCGAGTACGAAGCATTGAAGTCCTCGTCCACCGTTTCCTGGCCGCCACGGCCCCAGCGTCCAGCGTGAACAGCGAATCAACTCCACCCCTTTCACATACGCGGCAGATCGTCGTGCTCGGTGCAGGTCAAGACTCCATGTACTTTCGACTGAAAACGCGCAACGACGTCGAGGGCACCGCGCTGTTACTTCGAACGTTGTACGTGGAGGTCGATTTTCCCGCCATCACGCGCGCCAAGGTCCGCCTCTGTCGGCGGCATAAAGACCTGTCGAACGTATTTGGAACAGTCGAAACGAGTAGCGACATGGAACTCACGGCCAGTGGATACGCTCTCCTCGCGTGCGACTTGAGAGACGTGGCCACCGCCCAATCCAAGCTGCTCGCAGCTGGCATCGATCCGTCCATTCCAACGCTGGTACGACGCGATGTGCTTCGCACGCATCGTTCTTTCTTTACCTCGTTTGCAGATTCTGTCGGAATGCGTTTTGTGCTACATGGACGCGGCAGATTCCGCGCCGCTACTCCAGTGGTTTGGCACTGCCTTTCGCGACGCGTCCGTCATTGTGTACGAGCAAATCCGACCGAACGACGCGTTTGGGCAGACCATGGTGCAAAACATCCGCATGCGCGGCTGCGACCTCAAGAGCATTTCGACGTACGAACGACCCACCGTCGTGTGGCTCATGGGATGGCTGGTGGTAGGTATCCCGACGCAGTGGACCAGGTCCGCCGGTTCCGCGACGCCGGATTTGCACAATCCGAATGCTGGGATATGAACCAAGTGTACTATGGGTTTCTCGACCCCGTCGAGCGCAAGCAGTAGGTGCAAAGGATCCGGGACGAGTGCATGACTGTCGTCGTGGAATGTTTAGGAAGGAGCGGCTCGAAATGTTTGACGAGCTCGAAGAATTCCATCTCTTGCAAGCTCACTACTGCCTCGTGGTCGCGTCCACCCAGCAAACGACCCCCGCCGCCGTCGCCCTGCGCCTGGCCACGAACGCTGCCGCCGCCGAGCATGGTAGCCAATGCTAGGACCTCGAGTGTAGACAACGATATGACGTCGTCGAGAGCATTCCACATTGCGCGCATCCATCGATACAACAATCCAAGTCGCACGGAATCCTCATGCGCCGCCATGCTATACACGGCCGCGCTCGTTGTCCGTCGAGTCTGCCCATCGTCCTCGATGAGTAGGACCATCGCTGCCAACCTTGAATTGGTCTACAAGGCGTCCATGCACGCAGCAAGGCGCACGCAAAATCGTTCTCAGGGGATCTCGATTATTGTCAACAGCACGATGGAAACATTCCACGTTCCATGGATTCCTCACCCGACCTTTAGATGCCAAAGTGTTCAAGGAATGCGACGCCGTCGATGCGGACGTTTGTCGTCGCCACGTACGCATACGACACGATCGCTTCGTAGACAGACTCGATGCCTTTGTGGGTGGAGTCGGAAAGTTGCTGGACCAGCACGACCAACTGGGCGGCGAGGCCGTCGGCAGCTCTAGCGTCGACCGTGACGTGGAGTTTCGACAGCACGTGGACAAATGCGGCTGGCAACACGGCCGCCACGTGGGCGACTCGATTCTGCAGCCACAGCCACTGCGCTTGAATCGCACGGTCGGGACACCACCGCACACAGAGCGCCCCCAAGAGGACAGTAAGGAGACCATGGCCAGTCGACGACGACGGAGTCGTCCGAGCAGACAACTTGAGCCCGACCCAATTGATCAAGTCCATGAGCCACAAGAGCTGGTCGTTGGGTTGAAGTCGGGTGAGGCTCGTCGAGGCATGCACAACGATGGTTTCAACGAGGTCGGCGCTGTCACATCCCGCTAGGAAGGGCATGGTCGCGACCCGGACCTCCTTGGGCTCGCACCCCCCGAGGCGGAACAGCTCCATCATGCACACAAAAGCAGCGTGTGCTGTCTCTGGGTGCTGTCGCAATGCGTCGAGGAATCGTGCCTTGGCAAGGTGACGATCGACGTGGAAAACGGCTCGAGTGAACGCTTGGAATGGCGCGAACGATGACGGCGACGCAGCTGGCATCGCCACGTCGGCAGCGAGCCGAGGAAACACGCAGTCCAGAAGGATTTCAGCACACACGGCCGACACGGTGGGGGTCGCCGCCGCCGTCGCACACATCGCGATGGCGTCCACGATCGCGTCGAAGTGGGTCGACAACACGTCGAGCAAGTTGGTCAGAATCGAATGCAGTTGATGGGGTGCGACGAGCTTGGCCAAGGCCGGCACGTGCTCAATGAACGCGGCTTGGACAGCGATGGAAAGATGGCGGAATCGGGGCGCGGCGGCCAATTCCACGATGAAACTCAGCAGCGACGGGTCATGGACACAGTGCCGGAAGGCAAACGTGAGGGCCGCGCGCGCGACGTTGTCGCCGAGCCGGGCTTTCCACAGGCGCTGGACCAGGGTGGCGTAATGGAACGTCGGGACTTGACAGACAGACAGGCCCGCAAAAGCACTCGCAATCCATGACGCATCGGCCACTGTCGGCTGCTTGACGTGCCGCAGCATGTCCAGGAGCTTGTACGTGGCCGAGGACGGCGGCAATTGAAGTCCGGCGTCCATACCTACAGCCACACGTGCGTCAGCCCCCACTGTGCTCGCAAGCAATGTTGAAACGAAAAAAGCGCCGACGACGACGCGAAATGTTCACCTGCATTTTTGAGCTGGAAGGAATCGCCGGATGACCCGAGCGCCGACAGTGCTCCCAGCGCCCATACCGCATGAATGCGGACGCGCTGGACTGCGCACAAACTGGCCGACGTGGTGAGGCAGTCGATGGCTTTTTCAGCGTCGATGCGCGACACCAGCATCCCCTTCCACACGGTTGGCCGCACGTCCATGGCGAGGCCAGCGCCCAGCATGTTGGCGAGCCCGAACGTTGCGTAAGCTCTCGCGGAAGCATCGTACTGTCTGGACGTGTCATGCGCAATGTCGAGAAGGCGGGCGAGGAGCTGCCGAGGCAAATCGGGCGACGTGATGTGACCCAGTGGTTGGGTGCGGCAGAGCAAGTACGGCAGCGCGACCAGGGCTTCCGGCGTTGGAGAAAGCTGCTCGGTCCCTTCGTTTAAACCCGCGGCGGCTGCACACACGTCGACAAATGCGTCAACTTCCGGCCATCCAATGAGTTCAAACTGCAGGCACTGCAACAAGACGACAGGCAGTGCTGTCAGCACTTCGGAACATCCCTTTTCGCACAACGCAAGAAGCAACTCACGAATGCCCGTGAGCCACTCGGAATGCTGGCATGCCATGCAGCCCTCGCTCGCCAACGCCAGCGCGGTCGAGGTGGCGGTCAGTATGGCTTTGTCGGGTCTCGATCTGACAACGAGGTGCTGGACTTGGAACAACGCCTCGTCGTTGGTCGACTCGACAGCGGCGTCGCGAACCACGGCAGCGTCCACCAGATGCACCACAAGCGTGAAGAAGAGCCGACGCATGAGGCTCGGTGCCACTTGCTTGAGCATTAACGACTGCACAACGTGTCCAAGGGACAAGAGGCATGCCGGCACGAGCTCGGCATTGTCCGCGTGCAAAATCCCGACCAGTTTGTCGCAGACCTCGTCCACCAAGTGTTCGTGCAAGCCGAGAGCGCCCTGGGTCGCAACTCCGAGCGCCACAATTGCATGCACGGGCCCGTCGATGTCGCGCACGACCGCGTCCGACCTCTGGACCAACGACAAACTCAGCGATCGCAACACCATCTCGACGATTCGATTTGACAGCACGTGCAGGTCGGACGGCAAGCTGCGCGCGAGGACCCCCGCCATCAAGTAGTCGTTCGGGTTGCTGCTGTGAGCCGCGACCAAGTCGAGCGCCAACTTCTCGGCACCGCCGTCGTCTCGGGTGATCGCGTCCTTTGCATGCCGTAGCGCCACGTACTGCGTCATAAAGTGCTCCCATGACACGATATGGGCGAGGCGCAGCGGCCACTCGTCGTTGCACTCGCTCGTGCCTGCTTCATCGCGCAGTTGACTTCGCAACGCCGTCGCGTCTGCCCATGTCGCTTCCATGGCCTTGACAGCTTTGTCTTTGCGTTTTCGAGTGCTGTCGTCGGGCGGCGTCCACACAAACGACGTCAAGACAGCGCCAGCCAGGGCCTGTCGCATCATCAACGGCACCGCATCGTTGTACATTTGCCGCAACACAGGATGCGTCGGCAGCAGGTTGCGCATTTCGCGCGACGCTCCGCCCGACGTGCGCTCGGCCACAAACCGTTTGCGCGGCTGCATCGCCTCGTCTTCGCCCACGCGCTAAACAGTTGCCATGAGGGCACACGGACACGAACCAAACTCATGTTAGCGCCGACAGAAGACAACGAACGATTCCAAATCACTCGGAAACTCGTTCGATTGCACACACGCATGCAGGAGCAGTGGTTGCGACTCGTCGCGCTCTCTCAAACACACGTACACGCAATCGACGCGACGAAATCTGACCAACAAAAAGCAACATCCACGGGTGCGCATGATCACTGCTCGCAACGTACTTTGACCAAGGCGTCGAGCGCGCAGCGAACGTCCGCGTCGGGTTCGTGCGTCATGGCGTGAAGCAACCGATCGATGGCGAGTTCGACCACGTGGTCTTCCGATTCGGACGGCGCGACGGTCAAATCGACCGACGACACGAGTTTGAGGCCAATCCAGTGAAGTGGGAACTGCGTCAGCGCGCGAACAGCAGCCGCGCGTACGGACGGATGCGAGTACGCGGCGCGGTCGGTCGCAAATGCCCACAGTTGGTCCAAAAACGCGGGCTTCCCAGACACAATGGTCCCGCCGATGCCGTACAAGTGGCACAATTCTTCTTGGTACAGGGGATGGTCCATTCGAAGAATCTACGGACATCGACGTCATGAACCAACTGCGACTGGCGGATCCAGCCACTTGCGACCAAGCGGTGGCACCAACGTCACGAACCTTGTTCTTGCGCTGTTTTGTGGCAAGGATCTTGCATGCTGCGGCATAATCGAGGCAATCGCCGACGCACAGCGCACGAACGCACGCCACAGCCATACCGACCATGGACGGCAGGGCATGCTCGAGCGACGTTTGAATCGTCGCAATGAACGCAAGGCCGAGGTCTCCGCGTGCTTGGCACAGCTGCAAGATCGTGTACAGGTGGCACACTTGCCACTCGACGCTGTCGTCTTCCGGAGGCGTTGCCAGCATTTCTTCGAGCCTGGTCGTGCATGATTACAAAGAGCAGACGACGCGACTCGTACCTGGGATACACGCGGCTTTCGACAGTCCACACCTGGTACAACAGCCGCAGCGCCAGCGGCTTGGTGGATGGCGCGTCCGCCAGTGCCTTGATCGTCTTCAAGACAGTCTTCATGCACTCGGAATCTTTGGCAGATGCCAAGAGGACATGCAGAAGCGCGAGGACGGGCTCCGACGACACCGGACGACTCGCTAGTACGTACACAACGCACGGCACAAACACCCGACCCGCGGCTGGCCATGCCAGGACCCCCGCCTTGGCGGTGGCGATCGCTGCGTCTTGCACAAGAGGCGATGGGTGGAAGAGTAAAGCGCTGTTGACGAGAACAACGTGGACGTCGTAAGGTGGTCGATTTGACGTGTTGCTGAGTTGGAGCGCGGCGTCGGCCAGCCATGCCACGATCGTGGTCGTCTCCGCCGTGCGTACCATCGTGGAAAGAAGATGCACTAGGGGGTAGTGCGGGCTCAACGATTGTGAGGGCATCACGTCGTCAGTGGACATGGGACATGGCTCGAACGGCACTTGTGTCGTTACGTGTTGGAGTTGCTGCACGTGCGACGCCGACGCGGGCAGCAACTGGAGCAACGGGGCAAACAACACTTCCGCATAGACGTGTCGAGAGCGGGTGGTGTCTGGCACGGCATTCAAGAGAGTGCGGACAACACGCAGAAGCACGGCCTGCTCGACAGGAGTGCGCACGGTGGCGAGTTGAAATGCGACCATCCCAAGTACGTCCGAATCGTCGTTCCAGGCCACGAGAGGGGCGGCAGTGAGGAGCGATTCGAGAGCGAGGAGGAGATGGAGGGTGCCGCTCCTTTGAGCTAACGCAATCCATCACAAACCTTCATGAAACCCCACGCAACTATGACAGACACACACCTTGGACGTGCGGCAGACGGCTCAAGAGGGCCACCGCAATGGCAACATGAACGCTGGAGTCCACCACAGAAGTGGCAAGATCCACGGTGCTGAGGAGGACAGTCGACGCAACCTTCGAGTCGATGGGAAGCAGCTCAACCGTGCGGAGAAGAGTCTCGACGACAAAAACGCGCTGGGACATGCTGTCCACACTCCATCCTAGCCGGACAATGGCCGATGCCACGGTTTGCTTGGCAAGAGGGGCTGAAGAATGATTAAAATGTGGAGAGGTACGACCGTGCGCGCAAGATGGACGTACAGGTGGATGGACTGCCGAGCGTGCGAAGAACGAATTGGCGAAAGCACGAGAGGAGCGCTTGGCGATTTCCAGACGGCAGAGTCGCCAGGGCCTCTTCAATATACGCGGTGACGCCCACAAGTACCATGTCGTGTCCGAGTGACGCGCGCGAAAGAGCTTTGTTGACATCGTCACAGGCAACGTCAGACGAGAATGTCGTCCACAGGGAATACGCCAGTGATGCCAAGGCATACCCGACATACTCTGCCTTTTCATCAGATAGGTTACGAAGAGAAGCCACTCGACTGACATGATGAAGCAACAAGTTGCGGGAGAATACCGCGCAGTCCGCCATGTCGTTCAAGCCTAGGACAGGTGATGTCGAGGGGAGCTCTTCAACATAATTGTTATACCAGCCATGAGGAGTTGACTCAATGCATGCGACTCAGAATCTGTGATTGCATCTAGCACACGGAGCAAGCATCGTTCTCCACTCACGTCGGTACGCGCGTCGTCAAGTATGCGCCGCGCTTCCTTCTGCATGCTGATCGATCGTTGCGATTGTGTCAACTAAAAAGTGATACGTCAATATAGTCTCAATTCGTTCTGCTGTCCCAAGAAAATACAAGAAATTTTGTATCAAAACAGCCCATTTCGTGTTTCGACACAACAGAAGTGGCGCTACTTTTTGACACAATTGCTGGCGCCCGCAACCAAGATGGAACTCGTGATCGGATGCGTCGGGAAGCCGTCGGCGGGCAAGTCGACGTTCTTTAATGCGGTCACGGATGGCAAGGCGAAGGTGGGCAACTTCCCTTTTACAACCATCGAACCAAACGAGGGGATCACGTACTACACGACGGAATGCCCATGCAAGTCGCGCGGGAAGTCGGGATTGTGCAAACCACGGTACGGTCAATGCGTAGGCGGCACACGTCACATTCCGGTGAAGCTTCTGGATGTGGCAGGCTTGATTCCTGGTGCGTCGGAGGGTGCAGGTCTAGGCAACAAGTTCCTGGACGATTTGCGCCATGCCCACGTGTTGATGCATATCATCGACGTCAGCGGCACCACGAACGAGAAGGGCGAAACCACGATCGGGTACAACCCACTGAACGATGCCGACTGGTTGACGACGGAGATTCACAACTGGGTCTTCAACAACTTATGGAAACGGTGGGGCTCGATCGCCCGGCGCCACTCGGCAACGCAAAGCACACTGCGAGCGACGTTCCAGGGACAATTGAGCGGGTATGGCGCATCCGTCGCGACGATTCTGGCGATGCTCAACAGCATGGGCGACGCGGTCAAGGAGCCATGTGTGCTGACGACGTGGGGCGAGGCGGAAGTCCACGCGTTGGTTGACGCGTTTTTGACGCAGCGCTTCCCGACAATTCTCGTGCTCAACAAAGCCGACATTGGCAACGACACGGACAAGAACATTGAGCGCATCGTGGACAAGTATGGTGGCGACCGATGCTTCGTCGCGAGCGCGGCGTCCGAAGTGTTTTTACGCAACATGCACACGAAGCGCCACATCATGTACGAGCCTGGCGACATGGTGTACACGACGAGCGACGACGATGCATCGCTGCTTCCCCTGCTGCCCAAGATGTCGGCGCGCCTCGACCAAGTCAGTGACATGGTGCTGTTTCGGTACGGCAGCACCGGCGTCCGCGCCGCCATTAATGCCGCCGTCGCGCTCAGCAACATGGTCGTGGTGTACCCGGTCAAGTCTCTCAAGAACTTGACGACTGTCGAAGGCGACGTGTTTGGCCATGCCATCCTCGTTCGCGCCGGGACGACGGTGCGCGAAGTCGCGTACGTGCTGTCTCCCGTCGTCGGGGCCAACTACCTGTACGCCGAGGGCGAAGATGGCCGCCGGCTGTCGGAAGACGACGCCGTTTCCATGAACCTCATCGTCAAGTTCACGACGGTCGCGTCCAAAGACGCAAGTACGTCGGCGCCGCCGGCTACAGACGACAAGAAGCCCAAGAAAGACAAAAAGGAAGCGGACACCTGAAGCGCTGCTGACGTGTTTCGAGGACCAGACCACTCCAACAAATAGATACACAAGTGCAATTCACATATATTGAACACAGCGCCGAACCCTGTGGATGGCTACGCGACGTCTTGCACGGGGCTCCCCACGTAGGGCACGTACTTGACCTCCTTCGGGGGACACACGTCAAACTGGTGTTCGTTGTCTTTGATCCACTTTGCCAACGGATCAATTCCCGAAAATGCCTTGAACTGTTCCATGGTGCGCTTGTTACCAATGGAATATTGAGCCAAGTCGGTCTTGTCGTAGTCGTCCGACGACGTGGGAAGGCCCAAGGCGGCGCGGACACGGCGTTGCGATCTTTGAGAGATTACGGCCTTGAAGTTCCATCCTTCGTCCCACATAACATTGCGTTTCTCGTACCAGTGGTAGCTGACCATGTGCGTGGGAATGTAAGTATCATACCCAAACGTAAACAACCGGGCCACACGAGAATACTCTTCGCCATGGAACAAGAACGGAGTGTACGGATCGTTGCGCACTTCCAACGCTGACTCGACGGTCCCAAAGTTGAAGCCACCGGCAAATTGAGACATCAGAAGTGGTTTCGATGGTGTTGGGATACGAATTGCGCCACTGTATTGAACCATGGAGTCGGCGCCTTCATTCTCGATGCGGGCATGACACATCAATATTACTTGGTTGGGTACTTGGCCTTGTTTTGGGTACATCTCGGTTGGGTCGGGGTACACTGTGATGATACCCTTGGGATTCTTGATTGAATCCCATTGAGCCACAATATCAGTGTCCCAGTTAGGAATGAAGATCAAGTGCGAATCGATCGCCAAGGCAAACGTATCAATTGTAGGATCGATGCCTTTTTCCGTTTGATAGCGGCCGTAGGTCGGGCCTTTCGCATCCTTGTGACTGATTGTGTCGCTTCGACGAAGGCGCGTTTCTCGGTGGCAGTTTGCGTCGCCCACAAGTTTGCAGTATACATCAAAGCACGGGAGCTCCTTTGCGTCCAAGTCGATTTGGTCGAAGATGCTGACTGCAATGAGGTCAGGGCGTGACGCGTTGCCGTAGATGGATTGAATCGTTTCACCGCAGCGCTTCGAGTCGCGGTAGTTCGCAATCAGCACGATGATGTGTCGGTTTACATTATCACGGACACGAGCCGGGGAAGGTTCTTCAACAGGACTACCCACGTATGGTACGTAGCGGAGGTCCTTGGGAGGGCACACGTCAAACTGGTGCTCGTTGTCTTCGATCCACGACGCGGTCGGGTTGATGCCCGAAAATGCCATGA